GTGTGGAAGGTGTGCGGAAGAGGGGGTAGTCTTATACGGCGAGTATATAACAAACTCTGTATTTTGAGTGGAAATGTTAGGGGGTCGTCTTATATGCCCAGTCGTCTTATACGCCGGCAAATACGGTACCATGATTTTTCCCCTCTGTTTCTTCTTTTTTTTATGTTATATATCTCAGTTCTGGGTTTTTTTTTCTTTTTGAGTGGTTACCATTAAGTTTATGTAAAAGAAAGTTTCATATATACAGTAGTCCTTTTCTTCAGCATGCTTCTTATCTCCATTCCCCTTTGCAGATTCAGATTTTTTTACTCTCTCACCTTTTGTGGTTTTGTTGTCACAAGTTATCCCTACTTATGCTGTGAGTTGATTTCTGAATTGCACTAGCAAGTTATCTTTTTCTTTTCATTTTCCTTTTCTTTTTTCTTTTTTTTTAATGCTTTTATCTTCTTTAACCTCTATGTTATGTTCAATTGTATAGTGCCCTATTTTCTGTAGGGGTTTCCATTTCCTGCTTCTGTCTACCAGTTCATAATGTTGCTCATGATTTTGCATTCTTTTGGTTTTTTGTGTCAGGTCAAATAGTCTCCTTTAGTATTTCCTATAATGCAGCTCATGTGTTAGAAAATTCCCTCAGCTTCTATATGTCTGGAAAGGTCTTTATTCCTCCTTCACATCTAAAGGATATCTTTGCTAGATATATTATTCTTGGCTCATAATTTCTCTCTTTCAATAGTTTGAATATTTAATTCCACTCCCTCCTGGCTTGTAAAGTTTCTGCTGAAAAATCTGATGATAGTTTAATGGGCTTTCCATTATAGGTTACTGCTTTTTTTTTCCCCTAGCTGTCTTGAGAATTCTTTCTTTGTTATTAATTTTTTACAGCTTCAATACAATGTGTCTTGGAGAAGACCTGTTAGGATTGAGGTAATTAGGTGTTCTGTTTGCTTCTTGGATTCAAGGATCCATCTCTTTCCACAAGTTTGGGAGGTTCTCACCAACTATTTGTTTGGATAGACTCTGTGTTCCCTTCTCCCCTTCTTCTCCTTCTGGTATACCCATTATTCTTATGTTGCTCTTTCTAATGGAGTGAGAAAGTTCTTGTAGAGTTCTTTCATTTATTTGAATTCTCAACTCTCTCTCTTCTTCCATCTGTGTCATTTCCAGATTTCTATCTTCGATTTCACTAACTCTTTCCCCCATCTGATCAGCTCTATTACCTGAGCTGGCTATTTCATTCTTCATTTCTTTTATTGAGTTCTTAATCTCCAGAAATTCTATTTAATTATTTTTTTAAAATTTCAATCTCTTCGGTAAAATGTTCATTTTGTTCTTTGATTGTGTTTCTGAGTTCATTAAACTGCCTGTCTGTGTTTTCTTGCATCTCATTGAGTTTTTTAAGAACTGCAATCTCGAGTTCTCTGTCATTTAAGTCACATATTTCCATGTTTTTAATTTCATTTTTTTGGAGACTTTTCATTTTCTTTCTGAGCTGTCTTGTTACCTTGGTTATTCATGGCAATTAATGAATTATTATATCTCTTCCTGGGCATCTACAGGTTGATATGAAGAGGCCTTTCTTTTGCTTTCCAGTAGGTGTTGCTGGAATCTTTTATTTTCTCTCCTGTTGCAGCCTTTTATTTTCTCTCACACTGTAGCATTTTATTTGCTCTTGCACTCTTCTGGCTTCTCACGCTATGGATGGTGGGCTTCTCCTCTGTGAGCAGGTCTCCTGGGTCTCAGGGCACTGCCTCCATGGGAGGATGTGGAGGGTGACAGGTCTGAGCTTCTGAAATCCCAGTGCTGCCCCTGCAGCCCGATGCAGAGCCTGTGTGTCTCAGTGGCTCCCGTTGCTCCACAGGGATCCACCCAGGAAGGGCCAGGGTGGTTGTGGGAGGTGGCTGGTGTGTTTGTGGCTCTGAGCAATGGTGACTACCTGCCCACAGCTGATTCGCCCCTATAGCTCTTTCTCTATCACCAGAATTAATCATGCGCTATGCGTCTGTGGCTGTAGGAACATCGCTCCAGTTCTCAGGGATGTAGATATTTTGTTCTTTAATCTGACACTGCTATCATTTCTTCTGGAGCCTGTTTCTAACATTGGGAGAATGGGGTGTGGCGAGCTCTGGGGGAAGGGTGAGGGGAGGTGGCAGGCTCTGTGTCTTTGTTTTCTTTTTCCTGCCTGACTGTGAGGGCAAAACCACAGTTCTTACCCGAGGTCTCTGCCCCATATGCTGGTTTCAGCTGTGTTATATGCTGATCCCACAGGCAGTACTATGGGCCACAGGGAGGTACCTGTAGCCTGAATTCTTCCTTCTCCTGAGACTGCAGTGGGCTTTGGGCTGCATCTTGTGGCCTGTGGCCCACATTTCTGCACTTCCCCATTTCCTCCTCCCCTGCTCATCTGATTTGCCCATCTTCAAGTGATTTGATGCACAGAGCTCTCAGATGTGCTTGTGTATCCTTTGTGCTTGTGTACTAAGGTATCCTTTGTTGAATTATAGCTGTTCAATTTTTGTAACTTCCAGAGGAGATTTCAAGAAGCACTCCTCAGGCTGCCACTTCTGTGACATAATCTGTTAAAGTTTCTTCTCCACTAATGACTCACACCATCTTCTTTGCTTTGGGTTTTTTATTTCCCATGTTTTATTTCTTTACTACCATTTTAACGAGAGCTTTGAAAAGAAAGGAGATAAAAGCAGGTATTAAGTCCATCTTAAAAGAGTTATTTTTCATATCTTACTTGACTAAATTGCTCTTTATATTTTGTTGAATTAATTACTCATGCCTAGGAATAAAACCATGTTTTGTTTTGTGATGTTTTCCAGGGGGCAGGATTTCTTCTTATTTATTTCAATATATTTGAATTTCCATGCACTTACCATCTGTGAATTTAGAAATGTTAATGTTGATCATATGACTTTCACTTCTATATTCAAGAATATACAAACTTTGTAGTTATCATTGAAATTTGTGGTTATCACTGAAGTGATAGTACAAAGCATAATGATATAATTCATCATCTTCCTAACTGAACAACTTAGTATTCTGCCAGTTACAAGTTATTCCAATGAGAAACATATGTAGAGAAAAATGACCCAAAATAAGCACATTAGAGTTAGTTATGTTCTTGATTTGCTGTAAGAATCTGTTCTTCCCCCTCCAAACACACAGGAACCAATAGGAACTAGAAAATTATTAATTCTAAGGATAGGCAGAGGAAGATGGAAAAAACATGGAGTAAGGCCAAAAAAATATTTTTAAGTAAAAAAAGAACAGAAAAGGGGAAAAATGGTATAAATGGATAAGAAAGAATATTCTTTTGTTTAGACCAAAGGCCAACATTTATAGGCACTCAAATGGCCTTTCATAATGGGTATAACAAATCACTTTTAAATTTTGCTGTTTAAAAATCTCACAAAATGCCTGGGTTTCTATTTGGTTTAGGTTTTGACATTTATAAAGTCCAGGACTTTCCTAAAATCTTATTTGATAAAAATATTACAATTCTTTAACAATCATTAATATTTCATCATGTGTATTATATTGGTTGATACTCTATATCTTTCACAGCATGTGAGTACAGGGTTGAAAGGCTTGAGTTTTAGGGGCTTTTTTCCCAAGCACCTCCATGGCTGTTCTCTCAGGCCCTGCTATCTGCACAAGGCATTTACGCTTCAAAACTCTACCTCTTTCAGGTAGACTGTGATTGAATTTTTATTGTTATATTCTATAATGTTCATGGATGTTGCTCATTCATCAATATAAACTGAAACTCTGCTTCCAGAATTCTTTCTGGCTTGAAAAAGGTGTCCAAAGACTTGAAGCACTGGGGCAGGGAGAGGTGGGGGCAGAAGCTGGTGATCAGGTAAACAGGTCCATGAACAATTTGTTTAATTTTTCCAACTTTTATAAGACACAGCTGGTGAATTGGTATAATGATAATGGCTTTCCTCACTTATTCCTTTCCAGATTGTACAAATCATTTCCTATTTTTAAAATCCATATTTTAGGTTTAGAGCATTGAAAAAGCAAATTATAGTTAAAGGCACAGCACCCAAACTGAATCCTATGAATTTGTTCTGTTTTAGGAGGCCTTGCTTTGCTCTTGGTATGAGTTTGTACATTGGACTCATTGGCTATGTTAACCTAACATGCTTATGTTTCTCTAATTTCAGCATGTGGCAAATTGATGAAAATCACAGGCCCAATTACAGTCAAGACATCTGGAACACGATTTGGTGCTTGGATGACAGATCCTTTAGCACCTGAAAAAAATAACAGAGTATGTTGCTTCCAGAAATGCTTTTGCTTAGAATTATGTTTTATTTATACTTTTTGTCTGCTGAACTATTCTTTTTTTTTTCAGGGATATTAGTTTCAACTTGAAAAGTATTACACCATTGCAAATATTTTCAGTTTGATAATGTTAATATAGCTACAGACATATGGCAAACTTATTTCAGTAAAATGTTCTCTCCTATAATTACCAATATAGTTGAGTCTAATTTTTATTGGTTTTTATCTTGTTTTATACTTGAAGAGGGCCATTACAAAAATGTAGAATTCTCTATATACTCCTTCTAAAACCTGCGCCTTAGTGTGAAAAAAATAATAAAATAACACTCAATAAGTGAAAAACTCAAGAGCTAACCAATTCACTAAACCTGCAAAAATATCCCTGGGATCTATGGGTAATTTTCAAGTAAAAAGCACTGAAACTTTGGGGGGGGGTATTTTCATAAATTGGCAGTGCCTGAATTTTTTAAATAAATATACTGGAAACTTTCCGTAGCTCTACTTATGTTTTATTACAGAGCTCAGTATGCATTAAGATTCTCAAAGGTTATATCCAAATGAGATTAGTAGCCAGATTGGTAAAATGGTTTCATTAAAAGTTAGTTGTTCTTATAAATTGATTCAATGAACAAGTGTTACTAGAAGGTCCTGTGGTATCCGTCATGGAGAAATGAGTTGAATGGGTAAAATTAGACCATACATTTATACATTTTTCAGAGCAAGTTACAGAATAAATACATTTGCAGAAAGTGATATTTTCACAGTTATCATTGATAGCACTGATCTATCAGGTTACTAAAAGTGATGTGTTTGCACTAATGCATGTTTGGTTCATTCAGTAGTAATTCACTGAATGGTCAAAAAAAAAGAAAAAAAAAGGACAAAAAAGCAAATCAGCCTCAAGGCAGTAAATCCAGTTGTTTCCTTTCTACATAGACCATGCCACTATTTTTTCAAAAGTATGCAGTACTGTCACGTGGCAACAGGTCAGTGGTAAGATAACATGGCTTCCAGAGGCTGAGAACAGTGATTTTAATATGTTTTGACTCTCACTGTCTTTATTTTGGAATTCTCAGAAAAGTATGAATGTACCGACTTCATTTTTTTTTCTCCCCTCCTCACAGGTCTGGTACATGGACAGTTACACTAACAACAAAATTGTCCGTGAGTACAAATCAATCGCAGACTTTGTTAGTGGGGCTGAATCAAGAACATACAACCTCCCTTTCAAATGGGCAGGAACTAACCATGTTGTCTACAATGGCTCGCTGTATTTTAACAAGTATCAGAGTAACATAATCATCAAATACAGCTTTGATATGGGGAGAGTGCTTGCCCAACGAAGCCTGGAGTATGCTGGCTTCCACAACGTTTATCCCTACACCTGGGGTGGATTCTCTGACATCGACCTAATGGCTGATGAAATCGGGCTGTGGGCTGTGTATGCAACTAACCAGAATGCAGGCAATATTGTCATCAGTCAACTTAACCAAGATACCTTGGAGGTGATGAAGAGCTGGAACACCGGCTATCCCAAGAGAAGCGCAGGAGAGTCCTTCATGATCTGTGGGACACTGTATGTCACCAACTCCCACTTAACTGGAGCCAAGGTGTACTATTCCTATTCCACCAAAACCTCCACATATGAGTACACAGACATTCCCTTTCATAACCAATACTTTCACATATCCATGCTTGACTACAATGCCAGAGATAGAGCTCTTTATGCCTGGAACAATGGTCACCAGGTCCTGTTCAATGTCACCCTTTTCCACATCATTAAGACTGAGGATGACACATAAGCAAATGTAATTTGTTTTCATTGATCTAAACAGTGTCACTTTTGATAAACTCTATAGGACCCTTTTTTTTTCTTTTTAAAACTTTTCACCATTTCTCCAAAGCATTTTTTATTATAAAGTGGGTGTTTCAAAAAACAGCTGAGCCTGTCTAAATTAACCTATTGGAAACACATCTTAACTCCTAAATTTACAAGGCCTATTATGTCCTTGTCATGAAAAGCACTAAAAAGAGCTTAAGTGGCTAAAGTCATAGTTTTGCAAAAGATTAATGATCTGCCTTATATTAAAGTCAGAGACTAATGGTAGCTTAAATGCATGAATGTCTCTCTTTTTTTTTTTTTAACTGTCATTTTTTACTGTCTTTAGCTCCACATCAGGAATCATTTTGGTAGGAATCGGAAAAAAATAAAAGCACTTTCCCCCCATCTATTTCTAAAAAAAGATTTAAGGATTTTATTTATATGGAAAAATAATATCAATCATTTTGCTGTTCTACAATCTCCAATGCGGTGCTGTACAGTCATTTTTAAATCTCTTGCTAACATTTTATTGGCAATATGTATTTCTAGCATTGTAACCACCATTGTGCAATTGTATCTCTTCACTTCTGTGAAAATAAGTAATATTTTTTATAAAATACACTGAAGTTTAATCTCAGTAATTGCTATGGGACAATTTTCAAGTGTGGTCAAGAAGGAAGTATCTTCTTGGCTTACCCCTTTACATAGTATTATAAGCTAAAAAGAAAATCAAACCAGATTCCTTAGATAGAGTCTTTATTTTATCCCAAGTTCACTGGACCCCAACACTGAATGCTAAATGGATTCAGTATGGAGGAGTAGTTCATTTACTCCACTGAAAGCAACCCTCATAGTAGCCTGCAAAGATACAGCTAAGTCACAAAAATTGGATTTGAGTTGACTATTACACAACCAAACAAATTTTGTTCTTCATAATTAAATATATTAATGTTTTAACTTATATTTTAAACACAACTTGCAATAATATAATTCCTTGTGTCAGGACTCTAAAAATACATGAAGCACATATAAAAACTCTTAAGAAAATTTCTGTAATTTTATCTAGACTTACATTATAAACTCTGGAGAGTTATTGGCAAGATTTATGCAAAAGAAAATGATGGGAAAACTTGGGAGTTGTCTGTGTGGTTTAAATGTGCAAACAACCAATTCAGAAAACATGATGGAAAGGCAACCCCTTGTTACCCTGATTCACTGTGTGTACAGAAACACTGTAACCAAAAAAGAAAGCTTTAATAATATTTTATGTTAGTAACTCCAAAAACATATAATCAATATATATAAAACATGTCACTGAGTTTGGATATACTTTCCGTATATTAAAAATACTTACCTAAGGCAATTTTACAGAAACTATTAATAGTATGGGTTGGTTTTATAATTTAAAAAGTATATTCTATAATAAATAATATATAACAAGTTGTAAATGTTTAGTTTTACACATACATAATACTGTAATTTCTTTGTAAAGTAAGGATATAACAATTCAGATAAAGCATTGTGTAAAGAAATGCTAATACTTAAGAGTAATTCATCTCAATTGTCACAAGCAAAACTTCATTCTCAAATAGCTCCCTGTCAAAACTGTAGGATTAAATAACCCAATCTTGAAATTGTTAAAATTTAACAAAGATTTGTTTTTCTTTTGCCTACGGGGTCCTTTTGCAATGTTGTCTTCTCTTTGAAAATATTTATGTAAGTTCTCCTCTGCTTTGGAGTGTTAGAAAATTTAGGGGGTTTACTTGTCATTGTACACACATCACAAAAATAATCAGCCAATATCAAGTGTTTGTATATCAAGAGTTTCTTTGAAGAAAGTCAACTTCAGAAATGAATGAGTTTTTAAGTAGATGGCCTCTGATGAATAGCTGGGTCTTCATTACTTGTTTTTTAAAAAATGATGTAATATGGTATCATGTACATTCAAAACCTGGACTATCACAGCTTTTTTGTGAGATGTGCAGCTTGTAAAGCACTTTATTGTTTTCTGTGTGAGGTTTCATCAACATCTCCAATTTATAGTGTGTGTGCTGCTAGAGCAAGCACAGATTTTAGTACTGTCACTAGAAGTGAGGTAACATGAGTTTAAAAATGTGATTTGCATTAAACATTTACAGTATAAGAGCATTTTTCTTAATAAATTATTATCAGTTTTGTGCCTGAAATAAATAAGAACTTACTGTAATCACTGTTTTTTTTATCTCAAATAAATAAATTTTATGAGGGAAATGAGTATTTTTAAATCATCCACATAATATAATCAGTAAAGAATTCTAAGCTCAGAAAGTCCTAATCTCAAGTGAACTGTGTAACTGTTATTTTCGTACTTAGCCTGATTATTAACAAACTTCTGTGTCATTGAAATAATAATATAATCATGGTCTGATTGTGTTTGCACGGCAACTTGTATTTGTGGCACTTGAATCACAATACTCATTACTTGCACCTATACTTAGGCCTATGAAATCAGAAACTGATAATGTTGCAGTACATTACCGATATGTAGAGATAAAAGAGAAAATAATAACAGATGCCTATATGCAGCATTACAAGTGACTAGATAAGATTTACTATAAACTCAGAATCTCTAGTTCGTATCACCATATTCAGAGTCATTTCATCTTTATAATCCATACTGTTCTCTCTGATGAAATCTTATCTTTAGAAAATTGATTCTTATTTCTAATAAGAAATGGTCTATATATCTGAAAATCACTACCAAGCTTACAAGTACAAATTTTTCAAACAGAAGAATTACGCGTATTTTAAAAATGCACCTCGTAACTATATAAAATTGTATTGATGTTCAACTAAACACAAAACCAGTTATTTTTCCATTAAGATAAGCTTTACAAATAATCATCCTTTAACGTTACTATCCTTAAAGCATAGATTTTCAAAACAAAAACTATCTGGTCTCCTTAGCATTCAGGATTACCAAATATTTTCTGCAAATGTTAAATTTGAGTACAATTGATAGCAAAATTAAAAGTATCCCTTCAAGTTACTGCAACTATGAAAAATATAGACACTGCAGGGTTTCTAAAAGCCAAGACTTCTAGAAATATGAATGCTTTTGAAAACAGAATTTAAAATGTCACCTTGCTGACTTGACTGGGTAGGTATGATTACAGCCTTCACTAAACATACAACTTGAATTCCTATGACATAGAAGAATGGGTACCTACAAAGCATACTTCACCTCCTCCGTCATCACATGACAAGTGGACCATGAGGAGAGCTACCATAAAGTGGTCTACCTAACATTATATGCAAGGTGCATTAATTAAAATTTAGATGCTATAAAATGATACAAAACCTTAATCTCTCATTACTCATAGCTAGAAGCAGTCATTTCTAGAAATGCTCAGAGGCACTATCATTCAGTTCAGTAGGTTGTAGTGTCCATACTGAAATCAAGATCATGGAATGGTTTCTGGTTGTAAAGCTAAGTAAGCTCAGCATAAGTCTCAGCTAATAATTTGTCATAATCAGTGACTCTTCAGAGAAGGTCTATGGACTAATAAAATATGCTCTGTTGAATTGTTGAGCTTGTACTAAAAAAAATAGAAGTATGCTTTGTAGATACCCATTCTTTTATGTCATAAGAACTCAACTTGGAAGAAAAATCAACTTCAAAATCTTTTATTTTTCCATGAAATAGTGGATTCAACTGATGACAATCCCTTAAATCAGAAAAGTGCTCCACTGATTAACCAATCAGGAAGAAATACTCCCCAATGTACTTTACCAAACTGATTTTTCTGAATCATCCTAAAATTATGTTATACAGTTAATCCCTTTTGGTTGAACTATTCTGTCAGGCTTAGAGAAATTTTAATCTTGTTTAGAGTCTGCCTTGTCTCCAAAATGTCAAACTGGCTGGCAGAATAGTCAACCCCCTTTGAAGCTCAGTTTATCAATTGCCAAATAAATTTGACAAGTATAAATTATTGTTAAATTATTTGAAAATAATATAAAAGGGCATAAAGGTTTATGTTGCCAAGAGTACCCGGTACTTTTCAAAAGTATAACCATCTTAAAACATTATTCCTGACTAGAGATGTGAAGCAATATAGTGACTGTGGAAGAATTCTCAGGAATAACTTAGTGTTGCAAGAAGTTTGCTGGTAAACCACACACACATGCAACTCATGATTAAGTTGCATCCGTACCAAAGCTACAGTCTTGTCAGAGGAGCTTGCACCCATTTAAAAAAAAGCAAAACACTAAAATATTACCATAATATATCATCCCCTACCCCAACTGAGACTTGGAAATACCACGTATTAGCAGAGATGTTCAAAAAATATATTTTATATGACAAAGGTCTTAAAAGTAAAGCAAGAAATTAGCTGACTAAAAGAAGCATTAGTCATTATAAATTTAAGCATTTACAAAAATGTATCATACTGCTAATGTTGATAATTCATATCCAGCAAACTTTGTCTATACCATTCTTGACTTCACATAAATTCATATATGTTGCCCATGTGTAGTTCATAGCCTTTCCAATTTAGATAATATTACATTATTTATTCATTTATTCAAAAAATAATCCCTGAGCAAAACTATGAGCCAATTTCTAGATGCTAGGGATATAGCTCTCAATAGATAAATAAAGTTTTCATGTGCTTATATTCTAGTGAGAACAGGATGCAACAAAAATATTAATGAAAAATAAGTTCCAATTGTACCAATTAATGTGAAGGAAATAAATCAATGTCATAAAGAGTGACTGGGTATTTGCTAGGGGCAGGTTGGGGTAGGAGGTGATGTTAAGAGGGAATAATGAAGGGAAGTCTCTCTAAGAAGCAGTCGGCCATGGTAGATTCAGTCAAGGAATGGGCTATCACCATCTGATCCACTTAAAAAATGTGACCTCTTCTTTCCTGTTCCTGTAAATCCATGGATCAAATGGTTCTTAATATTTCTTCCCTGCAGAAGGTTTTTTTGTTGTTGTTGTATTGTTTTGTTTTTGATTTTTAACTAAGAGCTCAAGGATACACTTTTGGGATACCTAAACACTGAAAACATATGCTAAATTTAGTGTGTATATGTGGTTGTACATTCTTTCATATGGGGGATTTACAGCATTCATCACACTCTCAAAGAAAGCCATGACCCCAAAGATCACCACTATGTCAATGCAATCTAACTCAATCCCAAATTTATTAAACATCTCTATGACAAGCACTGAAAGCCTGCCATCTGTCTTGCAAGCCTCACGAATTTCAGATTGCTTCAGAGAGGAAAGAAATCAACATCCTAATCATATAAGTAATTATTTTCTTTAGAAGAACTCAAGATTAAGTTATTCCTTATAAAAACTCTAAAGGGATTTATTTTTATTTGGGCCAAATTCAATTATTTTTCTATGATCAGGTCTTTGAGGCACATTCTTGACAAATTCAGTGATCCAGTGTCTCTAATAGGAGGCTTGTCCTATGTATTGGACATTGAGCAGATGTCTGGAATTTTCTTCTGCTTCATTGACCAACATGGAACTACTTGTTATGGACTGAATTTTCCCTCTACTCCTGCCCTTCTCCACCCCACCCCCAATTCATGTATTGAAACCCTAACCTCTAATCCTCTAATGTGAATGTATTTGGAACTAATCTTTAAGGTGACATGAAGCCATAATAAAGTGGGGCCCTAACCTGATAGGACTGTTGTCCTTATGAGAAAAGGAAGAGATCTGTCTCTTTTCCTGTGTGTGCACCAAAGAAAGGCCATGTGAGAACATAACAAGAAAGCAGCCATCTGTAAGCCAAGGAGAGAAGCCTCACCAGAAACCAACCCTTGCTCTTGGGCTTTTCTCCTCCAGAATTATGAGAAAATGAATTTCTGTTATTTAAGCCACCCTGTTTGTGGAATTGAGCAGATGTGGTGAGCTTCATCACATTTAACTGCAAACTCCTCATCTGAAATTAGCTAACGTGGCAATGCATAAACAGTAAAAAGAAAGGTTATAACATTTGCCTTGGTTTAGAAGCTACTGTAGTTGATATGCATGTAATCTACAGCTACAGAAAATAAATAAAAATTTTATTAAAAAAATATAACTCCAGTTATGTTTATACAGGTAAAGTCATGCTGCGTAGAGAACCGAGGCTGTTTTTGTCAGTGATATTTTGGTTTTCCCCCAAAGGATTTGAGAAGACATCCATTAGCTTCCACGCCAATGTGAATCACAAATAATAAAAATAAGCATTTTCGTTCTCTCTCCAGTGTCTTTATTAAATTCCATTAGAAACGATCCTTGGACTAGGAAGCAGGCATTGAAAAAGAAGTTGACCAAGTCCTCATATAAGTAATAAGTTCTTATATTCAAATGACATTCTTGCCCCTCAGGTAAAGTTTGGCCCAGCAAAGTAGTTAAAATGCATAATTAATTTGTGATTAGCTTTTCTTGACATTCTCCCATAGAAAACGTGCACTAAACAAAAATAACCAAAAGAACGCTATTCATTTTACACTGCTTTCTGTTTCTCAAGGCTATTTCATTTCTATTCTTTCACCTAAGTCCTTACGTGAAAGAATAGCCCTATGTAATAGGGAGAGCAAACATCATCATCCCTATTTTATAAACAAGAAAACAGATATTTCTCCAGAGGTATTCCACAGGCACCTTAAACTCCGTATGTTCCAAACCAAACCCTTATCTTTCTCTCACCTGAACACCTCATCTATTTTTCCTTCCTTCCTCAGCTAACAGTAATAACAGCCCATCCACAGTCTGGGTTTCTACCACATCTTTGGCTCTTTAAATGTACCTGCCTATCTTATTATCATATTTCTATGATAAATAAAATCTAATCATTTTAAAATCTAAATCATACCCACTGCAGAATTTGGTTCTCAACAATTATCTTCCGGTTTGTTCAGTTCACACTGTTTCCTGTTCTCCTTCAGTCAGCCCTCTGATCTCCATCTCCATGCCCAGAATCAGGCACCCTGTTTGGGAATGCTTCTTTCATTTGCTGACCTCTCATTCCTCTCCTTTATAAACAATTTTACTTTTTGCTTTAGCCAAGGTCTACTTCCATCAATTATGGCTTTAGAGAATGCTCCCTGACCAAGCAAGACGTCCACTTTCCAAGTTAGATTAAGGTTGGGGTTGTATCTTCCTTCATAATTCATGTTCATGACTGACCTCTTTCTCAAGAGAGGAATTTCATTAAATTCCTATTTATTATTCAGAATTCACTTAAAATATGACCTTATTTGTGAATCCTATAAAAAGTCCCTTTTTCTGTGTTCCCAAAGTATTGATCTTGTATTGTCAAAATTATCACATCACAGTGTGATTACTTGTTTGCTCCACATTAGAGTGAACGCCTCAAGAATTGGGGTGATGAGTTCTTCTCCTTATACTCATATATTTTGGCACA